AGACTGGATGGCCATCTGTCAGGGGCTTTTCCTGCATGGCAGGAGGTTGGACTGGATGGTCCATGTGGTCTCTTCCAATTCTATGATTCTATAAAGGGGTGACAATGTGATCATTATTGCTCAGGGTAGCAATCTCCTGAATTACTTTTCATGCCTCTGTTCAGTACAGAGAGGTAAGGACTTCATCAGACAAGAGGGGGAAAGTGGAGTTTTACCCTTACTCTGCCTTGCAGCCCTCCCATGTTCTTTCTGCACTTTTCCCTGTCTTCTCCCTACTTTCTCCAATTTGAAGTCAGGAATCAGTCAACTGATTCCTGAAAATGGTCTTTGGCAGAACAGGGTAGAGCTGGATGGCCCTTGAGATCCCTTCAAATTCTTACTCCAACATGAGCAGAAGTAAGGTTACCCCTCGTCCAACCCCCAGTGCACCCACCATGTAACTGAAACGTGGGAGGTGGGTTGTCTGTGTATGTGTACATGTTTGTATATGTGCACTGTAGGTGTATTATAATATTAAAATATTTTTTTTAAAAAAAGAAAAAAGTGGGCTGAAATGGACCTTCTAGGGTGCATTGTCATGGTAGAATTAATGCTTTAACTGCCATGGCTAATTACTATGGAATCATAGGAACTGTAGTTTTACATCAGTGTTTCTCAACCTGGGGGTCAGGACCCCTGTGGGGGCTGGGAGGGGGTGTCAGAGGGGTCGCCAAAGACCACCAGAAAACACAGTATTTTCTGTTGGTCATGGGGGTCCTGTGTGGGAAGTTTGGCCCAATTCTATAGTTGGTGGGGTTCAGGGGGATCTTTGATTGTAGATGAACTATAAATCCCAGCAACTACAACCCCCAAATGTCAAGGTGTATTTTCCCCAAACTCCACCAGTGTTCACATTTGGCCATATTGGGTATTCGTGCCAAGTTTGGTCCAGATCCATCATTCTTTGAGTCCACAGTGCTCTCTGGATGTAGGTGAACTACAACTCAAAAACTCAAGGAAATTGTCCACCAAACCCTTACAGAGTTTTCTGTTGGTCATAGGAGTTCTGTGTGCCAAGTTTGGTTCAGTTCCGTTGTTGGTGGAGTTCAGAATGCTCTTTGATTGTAGGTTAACTATAAATCTCAACAACTACAACTTCCAAATGACAAAATCAATCCCACCCCAACCCCACCAGTATTCAAATTGCGGTGTATTGGGTATTTGTGCCAAATTTGGTCCAGTGAATGAAAATACATCCTGCATATCAGATATTTACATTACGATTCATAACAGTAGCAAAATTACAGTTATGAAGTAGTAACAAAAATAATTATATGGTTGGGGGTCACTACAACACGAGGAACTGTATTAAGGGGTTGCAGCATTAGGAAGGTTGAGAAACACTGTTTTACATTGTGTATAGCCTCCTTTGTCAAACAGTTTTGATGTCTTACCATGAGAGCGGTAACTCTCATGATTCCATAGCATTGAGCTATGGCGGTTTAAGTGGTGCCAAACTGCATTGATTATGTGGTGTAGATGCACCTCTAGTCCTCTTATCCATTCCTGTGAGTGTGCTTGTGACATGAGATGAATGGAAGGAGAATCTTTTGCTAAGGAAAAAGAGGGATTGAGAGGGAAAAGCTTCTTCTTCTGGCACTCAGAGTCTAGCCATAATCACTGCTATCTATCACTAGCGGTTATTTCAGGATGGGCCCAAGCCAGAGGAGCCGAGGCTTCTTGGCCAAAGAGCCAACTCTCCTCCTCGCTCCCATTCCTGCCTCACTCTGGGGAGGGGAGTGTGTCTGTGTGTGTGAGGTGAAGATTAATCCACTGTCGGCGTGGATTAAGGCTGACAGGCGGGCCTGGGCCGTGACAAGATAGATGACAGGGTTACACGGCAATGCGTGAGAACCCTGCCCCCTTTGAGCCAGCGCTGTTTTCATTGCGTGACTGCTTTTCCTTCTCCCTTCCAGCCGGCTTTCACCTTATGACAGGCTCCCCTTAACTCTTTGTGTCCCTTCCACAAGAGAATGGGGGAGCCAGAGGGTGGAAGAGAAGCAGCCACAAGCCTCTCACAGGGGAAAAAAACTCCCCAAAATGCCTCAAGGTGTTAGTGCTGGAAACCCAACTGCTCCGCCAACAGTTCCTCCTAAGAGTTTTCTATCCTTCAATGCACCTCCATTGACCACATAATGCAGAGCCAAGGACACCACAGACCAGAGTGGTAAGGAAAGGTTACATTAGGATTATAAATCTCAGAATCCCTTGAGAGTCAGGAATTTGGGATTCAAAAACAACTTTTTCCAAGCTTGTTACAGTTTCTTATAAAGCCCGGTCTCTGTTACAAATCCTTTCCAAGTTAAGTAATGCTACACCCTGAAGAAAGACCAAATCAATATTACTAGCTGTTAGCTACGCTATCGATTTAATAAGCCCTTACAAAGTGGTGGCATCTTTACAAAACCGTTACAAACTGGTGGCTTCTTCACAAATTGGTGAAACCTTTACACCTCCTATACACAAGGGGGTGAGGTGTGCCACTTCGTATAGAAAAGAGTGGAAGACACAAAACGAATGCAATTCAGGGTTATGTCTTCTATGGGCAACCTATTTTTCTTCAAGAGTGAAAATTATAGTCCATCTTATTTTGGACCTTGTTTTGCACCTATTTTGCAGACCACACATAGTTGTTTAATTGGATATATCTAAGCCTACATCATAAAAATATGGGTGTATGCTGCAAAGTAGTATATAACTGTAATATGTGTATTAAACAATAGTGTATACCATATTGGCAAAATTAAAAGATTGATGGTGCGAATTAGCAATCCCTCTATTTTTCACCAATTAAGTCCACATATGGAAAAAATTAGCATGCTTCTGAAAGCTGGGCACAAAACTAGACGGCTCTGACCACACACAGTGGGAAATCCAGCCAACACTCTACCCACAAACTTGTTACAAGATGTGGGTTTTCTTTCCAGAAATTAGGAAACAGATTTCTCAGTAACACAAACCTACCCATTTGTTCCTCCAGCAAAGTAGCTGGCTGAGTTCCTCTGTTGCTGTGGTTTTTTCACATATCACATATTAGGCAGCAGTTAAATCTGTGTACAACCTACTAATTGTGTAGTCTAGTGTTGCCAGTTCTCTGGGATATGCACAACAGATGTGTGAGACTTCCAAAGAATGACAGCAGGATGTTCGTGACTGGTAGCTAAACCAATGTACTGAAACAGTTTGGGTCAGTTTAGGCTGCACAATGCTTGGTCTCCTATCCAGCTGTAAAAAAAAACTATCCTCAGGAAAGATGCAAATGCAAAAACTCAACTCAAAGCAGTTTCTTCAGTTCTCTCATTGTGCTTAAGAATTCCTAACTGATCCTTAAGTTCACTGGTATATTAACCAACTTTTACTGCTCAAGTCTGTCTTCCAAATATGCCACATCCAAGTGTCAATGTCGTTTTTAACATCAATGTAGTTTTAGCAAATCTGATGTCCTTCAAAGGGTCCTATTGCCCTATATAATTATAGCATTATAGGTCCACAATGAAGCTTCTCCAAAGAGCCAATATGGTGTAGTAGTTTGAGTGTTGGACTAGGACTCTGGAGACCAGGATTCAATTCACCGTTTGGACATGGAAACCCACTAAATGATCTTCTAAGAGAGATCTGTCCTTATCAGTGATAACAACCCAGTGAGTTGTACCTTTTCTCTGGAAAAGAAGGAATTTCAACTATGGAATTGTCATGTTAACAGACAGAAGAAATACAAAGAATGATTTAAAGTAAGGGAAACTTTAACTGATTGTGTTTGTTTAAACTGCATCTCAGGTAAAGTAGTTTTCTCTTCTTATTTGGTGGTTAAGCAATCAATTACATCAAGACAGCTGAGTAATCAAGCTGTTAGAGACTGATTAGAAAGATTAAGCTGTGATCTTTCTCTGAATAAGGTTTGGAAGGAACCTACTTACAAGGGCTAAACACTTATTTGTAAGTAAGGCTAAACAATGTCAACAAAGAAAATGGCTACAGACAGATTCGAAGAATAATAGATAGGGAGAAGAAGAGGACTCTGCAGAGCTGGGAGCAACTAGTATGGATTTGTCTAATCAATTAAATTAAAAAACCTCAGTGTGGATTACAAATATCTATCTTGGAATATAAATGGGGCAAATTCATTCCCCAAAAGTAAGAAAATATTTCACTATTTTAAAAAACTAAAACAAGATGTAATATGCTTGCAGGAGATGCACATTCAAAGGGAGGATTTTTTTTGTTTCAAAAGAAATTGTGAGAATTTGTTTCAGCAAGTCTTAAAAAGATGAACGGAGTTGTGCTATATATCAAGCCACAATTGAATCCAAAACTGATACTTTCTGGCAATAAGGGTAGATGTGTAGGGGCTGAGATATCTACTTTAAACCCCAACTTTAATAGTTGGGGTTTATGCTGCAAACAACAGAAAACCAAGAAAAGTTATTGGACTTTCATTATGAAAACCGGTGCTTTATGGGAGACGGAAATGGAGTGATATCTCTAAAGAAAGGCAACACAAGGTAAACTACCAAAAGAAGTTGCTTTGACATGATGGAAATGTTGGGAGTGGTGTGCATGTAAATGGGGATTAAAGAATATGCATACTTTTCAGAAAGACATAAGATTCTCTCTAGAATTGATATGATATGGATATCTGCCAAACTTTCAACTCAAGTTCTAAAGACGGAAATCCTACCTAAAACAATTTCAAATGTAACCACAGTACATAAAAGAAAAGCAGAAACATTTGGATGGCAACTGAAAGAATCATTACTGCAAAATGAGGATATAATTAATAATTATAAACAAAAGTTGAAAGAATTTTTGGAATTCAACTTAAATCAAGGTACGGATATTACATCCCATCCCATCCATTTCTTCACCAGGCTCCATGGCTAATCTGAATAGAATGCTTTCTTTGACTTCTGCTTCCATCAAAGATATGTATAAGAAAACAGAAACCTCTAGAACCAAGAACAGCTGGTATATGATCAACTTTAATTAAATCAAATTGTATAGCAAATATTTACAGGCAAAAGATACAGTTGCTGAACACATCAACAGTGTTACTATGAAAATGGTTTACAACCTTTTGTAGGCAGATTCAAAGAACATCTCAATTTACAGCTGTACAGATATAGAAAGCTAAAGTTTCAGCTTGCGGTAAGATAATGAAATAGTCTTGTAGCTCCTCAACACAACAGTCTGGCAGTTACAGAACACATTTGATCCATTTTATCTTGGCCTCAACTGCAGAATCAGGAAGTGCTTAAGTAAGGCTTCACACTTGATACACACATTTGCCTTGTGTGCATTTTACACACTTTAAATGGCTTCTTAGAGTTGACTACATTGAAGGATCTAATTCAGGACATGCTGGAGATTTGGGCAGACCAGTTCTTAAGTTTTGTTTGAAATATGGTGCAGCAAGGCTAAAAAAAATAGTCGCTTTATCTAGTTTATGACTTCTTCCCTGAGTCCCAGAAACAACAGCAGGAAGGTCATGAGGAAGAGAGAAAGGACAGACTTTTTGTCCCATTTCATGTCGCAAATTGAATTGGAAGTGTTCTTCAGTCTTTAGCATCTCCTACTCCATCAGCATTAATAGCAAACATGGCTTCTGCTTCTGGGAGGCAAGGAGAGTCATAGATTTTGCATATTCTAGTTTCACCTCGACCTTTTCTCAAATACAACCTGAAAAGGAAAAAATGAATGCATTTATTCATTTAATAAGTAAAAAAGAAGATCTACACCTACTTGCTGTCAAATAATTATAATGTTGATACCTTGTATGTTAGCATTGTTTATATGTATATTAAACCTGTTGATCCCGAACATATGCTATATACCACTCTTCATCTGCTTGCCCATAGAAAACCATAAACAGATCTAATAAACTAGAGCTGATGCTGCCTGTCTAATGCAATTTTCTGAATCAATGCCCCAAATAACCCCAGAAGCCAGTCTAAAAACAGAGACATCAAGTTTTTTTTTGTGGTCTGTGTTATATACACTGAACACTAAACTCATATACCATTTCTAGTTAGGTAAACAATTACTTAAATTAGCATAAGGGTAAGATAATAACCCTCCCCTCTCACCTAGTTGTTGAAGCATGTGCAATAATATTTCCTCCAATAGGCTTCTTGGGGTCTGCAGCAAACATTGCAGCTCCATCCACTTGTGCTACCACCTGATTTGTAATCACTACTGCTACACCAAACTGCAAAAGAGAAGCATTATTTGGCATAAATAGAAACTTCAATAAGAATCTCCAATTTGGATCACTGGAAATGGAACACAAAAGAGAAAAAAACGACATCAGTCTAAGAACATTTTACCTCATCTGCAAGTCGAAGTAACATCCGTAAAAACCTGGCCAAATGCATCTGTCTGGCTGACAGTTCACCTCGACCGGAGTAATCTGTCCGATAGAGGGCTGTAGCACTGTCCACTATCAGTAAGGCATATCTAAAAAAACAGATCAGATGAACAAGAGTATGTAATTTTCATCTAGCTTTAAAGAGATTATTCCCACTTTTGTGCACGACCTGCTTTGAACACTTAACAATTTTTCAGAAATAGGCTACATCTAGTAATCCTCTTGATTATCATGCAGCCATGCTATCTAGCAGAAAAATCATACCTGAACGAAAATCAATCAAACCCAGTGAAAACTTGGTTAGGTATACACTACTGATTACGAACAATATATGCTAGCCAATGGGCCCCCTGGTGGCGCAGCGGGTTAAACCGATGAGCTGCTGAACTTGCTGACTGAAAGGTTGGTGGTTTGAAGCCAGGGAGTGAGGTGAGCTCCTGCTGTTAGGCCCAGCTTCTGCTAACCTAGCAATTTGAAAACATGCAAATGCGAGTAGATCAATAGGTGGAAAGGCAACGGCACTCTATGCAGTCATGCTGGCCACATGACCTTGGATGTGTCTATGGACAACGCCAGCTCGTCGGCTTAGAAATGGAGATGAGCACCAATCCTCAGAGTCTGACACAACCGGGGAAACCTTTACCTTTACTATCCTAGCCAACTGTCCATCATCTCAATTTCCATGATAATATTAATGGAAATTGTCTAAGGTAAAACAGGTTCTTGTAACATATAAAAATAATCTGGTATACAACATCAGTATCTGAAAATGGTTTTCTTCTTGTATTTTTTTCCTTGAAATATGGGGAGATAGGGAAGGAAAATATTGCTTGGAATTGAGCTTGTCAGCAGCAGGGAGAATAATTTGGTGTTTTGGCATTTTTCTCCGGATGAATACAAACAGCAGTCAAACTGATTGTTAATTAATAACTATATATTAAGTAATGGATGGTTTCTGAATGAATGAATGAATTTTATTGTGATAATCATAGGCCAGGAGTACAAAACATTAAAACATTAAAATCAGATTTTTTTTTCAAAAAAGAATTACATTCATTTTAAGACCATTGATTCAAAACATTAGAAGCAGAAAGTTCCCAATACAGAGTCATAATGGAAGCTTGTCTTAACACTCCTACAGAAAACACAATGCCAAAAGTGAAAAAAGGATGTTATGATCTTGACAGCTTTTAGAGATAAAGTGTAACACCATAAGTATTTTATTTGTGAAACAGTGAAATCATATTTGCTACTTTTTATCTTAAAACTTCTTGTTACCTTGATTCAGTCATCATAGCAGATGCCTGGTAAAGGAGTTGGGTCTGATGGTCTGTGTTAAAGGCTCGCGCATATGCTACATTATCAAGCACATCACTACCAGACAAGCCGTACCTAGAAAAAACATAACCAACAAAGATTGCTGCATTTTTAATCAAATGGAAAGTATATCAGAAGACACAAAAAGTTCATCTGAAAAAGAGCAACAATTTCCCCTTTAAAATCATATCACACAACATATAAATGAACTCCCAATAAAGCCTCATTTTTTCAAAGACCTGTTTGATTGTGCTATCAAAAATTTCAACTTCTCTTCATATCCCTTCCACTGTTCCTCTCAAGTGAGGTATGGGGGACCTTGATTTCTCTTCTCTGATGGATTATGAATTTGCCACCTATGTTTTCATCAGTACTTTCCATAAAAAACACAGAACTATAAAGCGCTGCCCAACACAAGAAGAAAACATATGGACTGGTGGATATACGGAGTTTATTTTACAGAAGTATGTGATGATGACTGAAGACTCACACAAATTCCTGCATAATAACTGATGATCATTTTATAATTTTCTTCCCTCCCCACAAACCTAATTTCTTGCTGGTTCATGTTGTTATTGATTTGATTTGGGTAGAAGCTGCTGTCATTTGTGTTACATGTTTACTTTTGGGGGTGCGGGGGAGGGGGATGTATGTCAGAAGTCCCAATAAGGCATCTCTGGCATGTAACTTTTTGTTCATCACGTCGCTGAAGTCTCCTGACCACCAACTGCTAAAAATCACAGAAGACATTTGAATTAACTATTGATGGAATATGGAAGCTGTCTTACACTGAACCCAATACTGTCAAAACCGAATAGCTCTCTGGTGTTACAGGCCAGACCCCTTCCCAGCCCTAAGTGGAGATATAATAGATTGATCATGGGGCCTTCTGAATGGAGAGCATGTACTCTGCCAGTAAGCTGTAGCTCTTCCTTTTAAGACTTATAAAGTCTCCAATACTTTCCAATAACACGTTGTCTCAGAGCTCTAGTCCCTGACCAGTTTCCTACACATTCATGGGTAGGAAGCACTGAAGAAATAGCTAACACATCAATTATAAATTAGCTCTTATCTTTGGGAATATTTCATTCAGAATTATTTCAAATTTGTTTTAATACCACTGCATTGCTATACTTCACGTGGTCTAACAGAAAACAGGGAACATTTTGCATGTCTGTCCATCAAGACGGGGATCAAGGAACATTCCAAAATAGCCTATATACTTTCAAACCAAGCAAAAAGATAGTAATAGACCCGACTATACCTATTAACACTTTTACAGTCACAATAAAGGCCAAAACAGCTGCAGATAGCTCGTCAAAGTACATATGGAATACCATCCCATATCTCCTTGAATCAGCCTTTGAGGTAGGTAAGGATTTTCACTTGCAGCCCAGAGCACACATCTACAGTTGCAGAACAGCTCCTGTTTACCTATTAATATTGTGAAGATCGTGTATTGTAGTATTGAATTTTTAAAATATCATTTAACTAATACAGAATTTTTAATATAATTCAAGTTGGTTCAGTGCTATTGCTTTTCTTGTATGTCTCTCATCAGTTGACAGCAGATGGCACTGTGACCTTCTAAGCACCCTGGATGTAACACCAATCATTCCCAGGATGTCTTTACCAACCTCTCAGCCACAGCAAGTAGACGCTCTGGACGGAAAGTCCCTTCTGTGTCAATGTACATGGCCTTCCCTTCGCCACCACCTCGATCAATAGGGAGCTGAGAAAGGCAAAGACAGACTGTTGTAAGACTGCTAAGAACTTTGGGAAAGATAAACCTAGTTGCATCTTTTTACACTGAGAATAGTTTACAATGATTTAATGTATCTCAGGATCTCTCAGAAAAATGCCAAAAACACACAAAAACATGTTGGGTTTGCTTGTTGTTTGTAATTGAGGAAACAATTATACCTAAAATTATTAGAATACTAGCTAAAATGGAATATGGAAAAGGCTATTTAAAGGACTAGAAGAGCCATACCTGAGGTAAATATTAAGCGACTATTGTATAGTTCAAATGAGCTGAGGGATCATCTGCAAAAATATGACCCATTTATCCAGGATCAAAGAAGAGGGAAAATTAATGGTAAAGGAAGGAGAGTTCTAGGAGAAAATGATAAGTAAAAAAAGGATCAAGCAGTGAGAACTATTTATTAAAAATATTTAAATATTTTCCACACTAAATTGTGCTTTTAGAAAATTGCAGCATTTTTCAAAGGGACTTCAAAATTCCTTCTGCATAGCATGTGTGTTTTATTATTTTAGTTTCTTACCTGACAGGTTACTGCAAGTGTGTGACATAACTGAGTCTTGCCTGTGCGGAATTCTCCAAACATTTCCGTTATAGACCCCGTTTCTATTCCTCCTGGATAAGAAAAATGCTAAGATTCAGACTCGGGGATCTTATTTACAACACACATATATCATAAATTTATAAATTTAAGATCACTGAAACATTAAAGATCATTTAGGTATCCTACTTTTAGAATAGGCCTTATACTAAAATAATATTTCTGATGCAACTTCCAAAATAATGTGGGAAGTTCGAGGTACAAGGAGCAGAGGACAGATTTTGGAAAATGAGAAGTTCCTAAGGGCAAATTAGCTATATCACAGAACAGATTTTTGTTTCTTTTACTTTAAAAGGTATGACTATGTAGTATTATTCATCAACTAGGCATGGTATTTTGGAAAAGGTATGACTATGAAGTATTATTCACCAATTAAATGTAATTTATTTTACTTACTGGGTTGTTGTAGGGGGTTTTTTTGGGCTATATGGCCATGTTCTAGAGGCATTGTCTCCTGACGCTTCACCTGCTTCTATGGCAAGCATCCTTAGAGGTTGTGAGGATCTCACAACCTCTGAGAATGCTTGCCATAAATGCAGGCGAAACGTCAGGAGAGAATTCCTCTAGAACATGGCCATATAGCCTGAAAAAACCTACAACAACCCAGTAATTCCAGCCATGAAAGCGTTCAACAATACTTTACTTACTGTTTGTTTCTTTGTTGAATTATTTTTGCACTGATTACCTGATATGGAAGGTGATATATATGATCCAACAAATTATATTTTTGCAAAAGGGAGATGCCAGCATTTTTAGTAATGCAATCATAGCATATTCACTCAAATATTAACCATACTGAGCTTAGTAAGATATATATTCAGGTTAGCACTGAACTTTAATTCCATGCCCTTGTTCCTTAGCTACAATTTGCACTATCCCATTCCCTTTTCTTGTTTACATTTTGGCCATGTCTTATGATAGTTGTCACTACACGTTTTGGGCATTGTTCTGAGTTTTAAATTGTTGTTTTATATGCTATATGTTTTACTCTATTGTATTGTACTATGTGTTTATTTTATTTCAGGCACTTTGTGCTATATGTAATCTCTTCAGGGAGATTGAAGTGGGGTACAAGAATAAAGTTGTTGTTGTTATAATAGTGGATACTGGATATAGTTTAAATCTGAAGTTCAATATCCATGTGGTCTAAAACTAGATTCCCTCTTATATTTGTACTACAATGCCAGGTTTGTCATTTTTATACATACATGTTTGTATAAATATAATTCTGTACTTGATATGTTTTATACTTCGTAAAAGTCAATACACAAACCTTGAAGGAGTTTGTCAAGTTCTTTTGATCCAGTGGTAATTTGAATGATCTCTGACCTCCGTTGATGAAACTCTGTTGCTGTTGTGAAGCCCATTGGAACTAACTTTGCTGCCTCTGCCTGAGAAAAACAGGAAGATCAGAACACTGAGTAACAAAATGAAATAATAGTGCACTCCTATGTTAAAATTCTCATTTATAACACTATATTTTTCAGAAAACATATCATAATACAATTAGAACTAAATAGGCAATTACACCTTACTTGGCAATTTTCAAAGGCACTGTTCAAAAGAAATTATTACAGAGAAAAAAACACTGCAATGCAAATATTATATATTTTCATCTTCTTAATTAATTAAATGTAATTACCAGGATTTTGTCTGCCTTGGCTTCACTGATGCCTTTAATATTGAGCAATTCCTTCTTTGGCGCATAGGCAACAGCTTCAACAGTGTGGAATCCAGCTTCTTCTAATTTCTTCACGTCATTTGCATTTATGCCACATTGCTGTACAAAACAAACATCGTGTTATTCACTACAGTATATTTGATACAGGATCTGAAATGAGGCATTTGGACGCAACTGGGAAGATGATGAGAGATTATATAAAACGAATTTGAATGTGACACAATATACATTGTGATAATATATACACCATGGTACTCTTAGTTCATTTGCTGAACAATATATGCTGTAATAATTTAGTTCTGTTATGGCTTAGATTCATATAGCTGGAAAACACTCTGAGGGCCATCTAGTCGAGTCCCCTGCCTGTGCAGAAACAACCACTTTCAGGTGGCTTCCATGATTAGACTGCCTATCAGACTTTACTGAAAACTATTTTTCCAATAACAAACCAGCTGCCGTGTATTGTCGAAGGCTTTCATGGCTGGAATCACTAGGTTGTTGTAGGTTTTTCGGGCTATATGGCCATGTTCTAGAAGCATTCTCTTTTGACGTTTTGCCTGCATCTATGGCAGGCATTCTCAGAGGTTGTGAGGACCTCACAGATTTGGGGTGTGTGTGCTCTGGGGAGAGTTGTGTGAGTATGGCAAGGATTTATGTACACGTTTTTACATATTTTGGGGATTTTCTACAATTTTCCCCAGGAAAATATTTTCTGTGATCACACCTGTTTTCTGGAATACCTGTCTCATTTCCTCATCCAAAATAATACCAACATTGATTCAGTTCAATGTCAAACACTTCTTATAATTGGCCTCTGTTCGATGGTGTATCATAACTTTAAAGTCAATGGTTTTCTTTAAAGTTTGTAGTTATTGTGCATATACTTTTTATTATTGTTGCATTGCCTGGATATGTTGTTCAAGACAGGTGTCTCTGATATACCTTAAAATAAATAAATGAAACCAGAGTTCAATTAAAGTTCTCATTGGCGGCGAGCAGGTCCTGAGAGAAAAGTTTTTTTCAGTTCACCAAAACTAAAAACCACAATAGCATTCCTTGTATTGAAACTAGCATTGGTTATATCGAATATTTGATTTTAACTATGTTTTTAATGTCTGTTTTGTATGTTTTATATGTTGTAAGCTGCCTTGGGTCTGCTTGTGGAGGAAGGCGGGGTAAAATATATCTGAAACAAATGAAGTATTTAAGTGCTACACATAAAAAAGAATTGTTGGTATTTCTTTTTTTTAATTTAAAGATTTTTATTGAGTGAATTAATGACATAAAAAACATTTGTAAAAAAACTAGAGATAATCAAGAATATATAATACAGGTATGCCATTCCCCAAGCAGGTACATTGCAGCATTCTCTTATATGTACCACTTCCCCATAACAGATTGTAATGCTTATTATGTCTTGAGTCCTATAATATATGGTATTCATCCTCTAGCTCTATTAAAGGTAAGGGTTTCCCCTGACATTAAGTCTAGTCGTGTCCGACTTTGGGGGGGGGGGGGTGCTCATCTCCATTTCTAAGCCAAAGAGGCAGCGTTGTTCGTAGACTCCTCCAAAGTCATGTGGCCGGCGTGACTACATGGAGTACAGTTACCTTCCTGCCAGAGCGGTAGCTACTGATCTACTTACATTTGCATGTTTCCAAATTGCTAGGTTGGCAGAAGCTGGGTCTAACAGCAGGAGCTCCCTGGATTCGAACCATCAACCTTTTGGTTACCATCTCGGCAACTCAGTGGTTTAACCCACTGTGCCACCTGGGGGCCCTCTAGCTCTATTACATACTTGTTATTTACTTCTGCCTTCCCTTGTTTACCCTTCACCTAGTGATGACCCTTCACCCTAGACCAGCCAGTTGCAATACTTATCAGCATTCCTTAATGAATTCAACACAAACATATATTTCGTAAGAAACACCACATACCTCCAGCCGCGAAATTTGTTGAGGGCCAAAGCTTTCCTCTTCTGTTGATGCATCTATGCTTGTGTCACTCTGCATTTGCATGGCCATGGCTAAAGTTGTTGATGTTTCTAATAAAACAGGAAAAGTCTGCTAAATGATGGGATGTTTCACAGAGCTTGTTTGGTACAAGACTCCATTTGTAAATAAGTGGTTTAAAGGTTTGATATGTTTTAAATGACTATTTCAATGTATATGTTTATTTTACTGATGTATGTTCGTATGGCATTGGATCGCTGCCTATATATATGTAAGCCACTTTGAGTCCCCTACTTGGTGAGAAAGGTAGGGTATAAATTGAGTAAATAAATAAACACATTTACTAGTATTTTTATTGGGCAGTCAAACCCTCTATATAAATAAAAATGTAATGTTCATTTGTGGAATTAACATAACTCAAAAACCACTGGATGAATTGATGGTAACTTGTTGACACCTATCAGGTCAACGAGTGACCATCACTCATAAAAACACTGAAAAACACAGTGACAAAAACAACTCCAACCCCAAAAGGCTGTTAGGAATTGTGGGAGTTGAAGTCCAAAACCCCTGGAGAGGCCAAATCTGTCCCTACCTGGTCTACAGCGTGGAACTATTCCACAGCATTGAGCCATGGTAGTTAAAGCCGCCCCGAGTCCCCTTTGGGGAGATGGCGGTGGGTTATAAATAAAGATTATTATTATTATTATTATTATTATTATTATTATTATTATTATTAAAGGTGCTCCATAGGCCATCCAGCCCAACCACTTTTTGCAGTAAAGGAAGACACCACCAAAGCCCTCCCGACAGATGGCTATCCAGTTGGAAAGGAGTCCCAAAGGCCATCCAGTCCAACCTCATTGGGCGGTAAAGGAAGACACCATCAAAGCCTACCTGACAGATGGCCAACCACTTGGAAGGGAGACCCAAAAGCCATGTAATCAAACCTGCTTTGGCCCTTTAAAGATGTGTGTCTGAATGTCTGACCATCCATCTCTCTACCTTGCCTATGTTCTATCCATCTACCTTCAGTTCCATCTATCAATGGCCTTCCACATGTCTCTTCTGTGTATTGTTTCATGTCTGGGATTCCTCTGTTTTCTGAGGGCCACAGCGACGCGTGGCAGGGGACGGCTAGTATGCTATAATAATAACAATTTAAATCATTCATTTGGGTTTCCTATACAAAAAAGCATACAGCTAATATTGGGTATTTCTACACTGCAGGATTAATGCTGACCAGGCCTGGGCAAACTTGGGCCTTTCAGATGTTTTGGACTTCAACTCCCATCATTCCTAACAGCCTCAGGCCCCTTCCTCAGCGCTTAAGCGGCTGAGGGGGAAAAGGAAAGGGCCTGAGGCTGTTAGGAATGATGGGAGTTGAAGTCCAAAACATCTGAAAGGCCCAAGTTTGCCCAGGCCTGGTGTAGTACATGCACTCAACTCTCTCAGCCACACTTGTGGACCAGATTCTGGGAGTTGTAGTCTGAAAATATACCCCTCTCCCAGTCTCTGCTCAGGCCCTTGTCCCACCAGGAAAGAGAAGCCACAGCTGGCCAAACGCCCTCTCTTTGCCCAGTAATGGCGGCCTCACTCAGCCAATAACATTCCCATTCTGAGTGGAAGGCAAACGTTTCCTTTGAAAAACAAAACAACAAGAACTTCTAATAGCAGGAGGAAGCCGAGGGGACTGCCCCCCAATATTATCTGTTTCTGAATGGAATATGAATTATGGAGGGGGGGGGAGAATGAAGCTACCTCAGTGGTTCAGGCCCCGTCTGCTTCCCTGTTTCCTCTTCCTCTCCGCCCACAAATTCGGAAGAGCCCGCCACTGCGTCACGTGACTGCGCTCTCCTAAAGAGTAACGCCTCTGCTGCGAGCTGACTGGTCCGCTCCAGCGAGAGCTGTCCCCTCCACCCCTCCCCCGGTACGCATGCGCACCGCCTCTAGACTTGCCCTCTCTCCCCTCCCTTCTTCCAAGAGGCTCTTTTACTGCCAGACATCACTTTTTGGAAAGGTGTTGTCGAAGGTTTTCATGGCCGCAATCATTGGGTTGTTGCGAGTTTTCCGGGCTGTATGGCCATGTTCCAGAAGCATTCTCTCTTGACATTTCGCCCAAATCTATGGCACGCACCCACAGAAGTTGTGAGGTTTGTTGGAAACTAGGCAAGTGAGGTTTATATATCTGGAATGTCCAGGTTGGGAAAAAGAACTCTTGTCTGTGTGAATATTGCAGTTGGCCACCTTGATTAGCATTCAATGGCCTTGGAGCTTCAAAGTCTGGCTGGTTGCTGCCTGGGGATCCTTTGTTGGGAGGTGTTAGCTGGCCCTGATTGATTCTTGCCTGTTTTTTGTGTTCTTTATTTGCTGGCCTGATTTTAGAGTTTTTTAAAAAATACTGATGGTCAGATTTTGCTGTAAAGAATTGCGGGAGTTGAAGTCCAAAACACCTGAAGGGCTGAAGTTTATTTATTTATTTATTTATTTAGGTTTCTTCTACCCCGCCCTTCTCACCCCGAACGGGACTCAGGGCGGCTTACAAAGGCACAATTCGGTGCCAGCATCACATTAACAGTAGTAAAACAAAATAACATCAATTAAACAGTTAAACAGTTGAACAGTTAAACAACAATTCCTGTATTACAACCCTAAAACCAATAAAACAATACAAACCCAATTACTCCTCATAGACGGTCAGCATTCGCTATCTCATAGTCCAAATTCCAATTCCACATTGTCAGTCCTAGTCATTTGATTGTCCTTATCTAGTTGTCAGATTGCCCGAAGGCCTGGTCCCACAACCACGTCTTTACTTTCTTCCTGAAGGAGAAGGATGTTGATGCCCTAATTTCTCCCGGGAGTGAGTTCCACAGGTGAGGGGCCACCACCGAGAAGGCCCCATGTCCATGCCTGGTGTAGATGCACTCCTAGAAAGGACTTTTATTTATAGATGCATTATTGTTATTTACATTGTATTGTTAATGAAATATGTGAGTAGATATTAGCAATTAGTGTTGTTGACATACATCTAGGCCCAGAAGCAGACCAAGTCCTGCAAATGCCCTCACAAGCATTTTATATCTCCTAGTAGTGCAATTAAATTTCACTTATCCCCTGGATCCCCTGTCCAGACACACACTACTGCACTCTCACCTAGTGTTTTTAATTTTTTAATCCTTTGGAATTGGTCCTGCCCACTGACATTTATCTCTCCATCTTAAATGTTACAATTTTATATTGATGATGTAGTATTTATAATGCACTGTTTCGTATTTTATTTTTATTTTATTTATTGCTGTGTTCTATTGTATTTTGATGTATTGTATTGTGGCCTTGGCATTGTGTAAGCCACCCTGAGTCCACTTGGAGAGATGGTGGCGGGGTATAAATAAAGTTGTTGTTGTTATTATTATTATAAAAGGCCCTTAATTGCAATTATCCTCTTGCACTTAATTGCCTCCCTTTTTTTTTTAACCAATGAGCCATGTTGCTTCTTGACATGTTTCCACTGCAATAATATGTTTAATCACCATAATTTCCAGTGAGAATTCAGGCTTGATTTGCTCTGGACCCATTTATTTCTCATTTGGATGATCCATGTCATCCATGTCTCTTCTAGCAGAACATTCAAAATGAGTTGATCTTCACTATCCAGCTTCAAAACATATATAGAAATCAGAAAACCTTTGCAGTGGATGATCCTGACCTTGGTATTTATATAACTTTACATTTCATGTTATGCAACTTTTCCTAGATAGGTTTAAGACGTGACTGGGTATCTGAAGGATGCAGAAAAGTTTGCTATTAACTTTCAATAGTTGATATTTAACTGAGTTGACAAAAGAGTCCAATTTCTCACATTTAGGTCATGAGCAGGAAATCAGCATATTTAAATGTGGCTGACTTTTTTTTCCTATCTTTAGTTTTAGGTCTTTCCTTGCTGTGTAGGAGGCCAAAGCATGGCACCACAACTTATAAAATGCTGACAGCATCAATTATTTTAAATTCACAAGATCATATTTGTCCATTAAGATAGCAAGTAATTGTTTCAGTAGATTAAAATTTTCATCCAAAATAAACTCAGCAAAGCCTGGGTAAGAATTAGTGTTAACCACCAATTCTAAGGTATGCTGGTTAAGGCGGCTTGCCTTTGATTCCTTTTATGAACACAGAATAGAAAACTTAGTGGAAACCCTCAATCATTGCTTGTGTGGATTTTCTGTCCATGTTACAATTTGTTATGTTCTTGTTATATAATCTGCCATCCTTTCAGGCAATACTTAATGGTATTTTGAAAGTACTGAACCAGTGCAGGGTTTGTGGAGTCCTTCGGTGGTGTGATATAGCAGTTAGCAATCAACCCTCTTCATTTTTTCAATAAACGATTGAAATGATAACTGGGAAATAGAGGGAGAAAACGTAGAGGTAGTGACAGACTTTGTATTTCTAGGTGCAAAGATTACTGCAAATGCAGACTGCAGCCAGGAAATCAGAAGACGCTTACTTCTTGGGAGGAGAGCAATGACCAATCTCGATAAAATATTGAAGAGTAGAGACATCACACTGGCAACGAAGATCCGCATAGTTGAAGCAATGGTATTCCCCATAGTCACGGATGTGAGAGCTGGATGATAGGGAGGGCTGAGTGAAGGAAGATAGATGCTTTTGAACTGTAGTGTTGGAGGAAAGTTCTGAGAGGGCCTTGGGCCGCGAGAAGATCCAACCAGTCCATACTTCAGGAAATAAAGCCCGACTGCTCATTGGAAGGAAGGATTTTAGAGGCCAAGATGAAGTACTTTGGCCACATCATGAGAAGAAAGGAAAGTTTAGAGAAGACAATGATGCTGGGGAAAATGGAAGGAAAAAGGAAGAGGGGCCGACCAAGGGCAAGATGGATGGATGGGGTCCTTGAAGTGACTGGATTGATCTTGAAGGAACTGGGGGTGGTGACGGCCAACAGGGAGCTCTGGCGTGAATTGGTCCATGAGGTCACAGAGTCGGGAACGACTGAACGAATGAACAACAACAACAGCAATATATATGCATTAAAAAGTGGCTGAACCCACCATTTCATTTTGAGCTACTTTTCTTCAGTTTCATAAAGTTTACGGAGACTATGGTTCAAGTCCTAGAATTGGCATAAAATACACTGGGACAGTTGCTCTGTTGACAAAATTGCCTTCTTAGTGGTATGGTGAGGAGCAAGAGAATAGAGTTATGGTAAATCATTCTGTAAAATCGCTCACTTCTGATAGAACAACAGGGAGTGCTAAACATTTGAAATGCTTGTTTAAGATTTGAAGCTACATTATAATTTCTTTTGGAGGACAGTTGTAAATAAAAGCTGAAATCTTGAGTACAAACTATTGAGTTTGAAGCATTCATTCATCTATATATCTATATCTATCTATATCTATATCTATATCTATATCTATCTATATAATAAAGAAGAGTGTTTGTATCGGACAGAGGAATTGTGGAGGGAGGGCGGTGTATGTGGCAGCGTTCTGATTGGCTGCCGCTGTGGTGCTCTT